CCCCCACCCCGAAAAAAAAAAACTAGTTACCGGACAAGATCTTACAGCTAAATTACATTCAGAAAAGCATGAAAAATTCAAAGGGTTGTCATTAGCTGTGAGAGCCTCAGTTCTGAGCATGYTGGTGAAGATGGACTGTCACCAGTTATGTCTCTTCGATCAGCTGCTGACTGCCGCATCAAACACACTACATTTTAAAACTCGTGTCCTTTGTGKTTTTCTTTTCTYTTTTAAATAAACACACAAAAGAAGCACTGACACAAGTTAACAGCAGCATCTTGCACATCTGAGTTGCAGTTTGTCACCCAAACGCCAGCGAAAGGAGCTTTTAATGGTGTTTCACATCATCTCAGTGAGTGGCAGCATCCAGACACACTCCGACTCCCTGATGTCGCCGGAGCAATTAAAGCGCTCTGACAACTGCGGGCCCCTTTCAATGTCACAACAAATCACTTGTTTGGAGGAGTCGTGCACTCACACCTTTCTTGTGAGAGTTAGTTAGAGGCCTGCGTGTGCTCCTCCACCGTGGCTCCTCCTCCTCCAGGCTCTCCATCTCGTCAGAATAACAGATCGCTGCTGACAGCGTCTCTAATGAGACACTCTTATAGGACATGACGCATGTGTGCGATGAGTGAACCGCAGCGTTTTTCAGGCAGTCTTTCATGTCCTCAGGTGTGACATGTTTGCTGCGTTGTACAAACAACAAACTCGGAGGAGATTTTACAGCCGATCAGAACAAATAAGTTTGGGAGTTTTGGTGCAGTAATATGAAAGACGTTTTTAATAAACACAAACATCACATACCCTCTGGACTAATCTGATGCTGACTGTTTTGTATTGTTTACCTCCATTCACTCTGGAAAAATTAAAATATGCCATGCTTACTTATTAGATTTGTCACATTTATTATTAATTATATACSCTAATGTGTATCATGCTTTATAATTACATTTCTGTTTACCTTTTTCCAGCCCAGGTTTAATATAAGGATATAGTTGCTCAAGTTTTTTTTCAACTTTTGCTGTTAATTTTTTTTTCTTTGTATGAGTTGTTTGTATGTAGTTGCTGTTCTGCAGTGTGACAGCTCTGTTTTGTTGTAAATGTTTGTGCAGGTTCCAGTGTCAGTGGCTATGATGACACCTCAAGTGATAACTCCGCAACAAATGCAGCAGATTCTTCAGCAGCAGGTCCTGAGCCCTCAGCAGCTCCAGGTGCTTCTCCAGCAGCAACAGGCCCTCATGTTACAGCAGGTAATGTGCGACATCAACAGTGTGAACGCTGTGTGTTTCAAACCTGAATATCGTGTTTCAAACCAGCTGAAAATCCTCTCAGATAAATGTACTTTGAACTGCTGCTGCCGCTCTCTCGCCCTTGTTTTTAAGCCTAAGAAACAACTTGCATGAAGGTGTTGGAAACGCTCGCCRAACTCGCCGCTGACTTTCCCTCGGCCGTCAAAAAGCTCCAGCTCATTTGTCACCTTCTTGTCGTTTTCTGCAGCAGCAACTTCAAGAGTTCTACAAGAAGCAGCAGGAAACGCTCCACCTCCAGCTCCTCCAGCAGCAGCAGCAACATGCAGGCAGCAAGCAGAGCAAAGAGGTAGGCTGACATCACTGCGACCGCCCGCCTGCCATTTCCAAACGTTGGGCAGACAGAGCATGGAAGGCATGTGTGCTCCCTCCCTCAGCTCCATCTGCTTCCAGACTGTGGTTAAAGCAGTGTGTGTGTGTGTGTGTGGGGGGGGGGGGGGGGGGGGAATCAAGTGCGTTCATGCTTCTGATTAGCATGTCAGACTTGCTAGCTAAATGTTAACAACTGACTGATTCTGTGTAAGAATACGGATCCTTTTTTTTCTAGACCTGCCTCCAAGTTAAGTGTGTCATATTTTACTAACCCTCTGACTCATTGTATTGTTTTGTTTTTTTTAACAAACAAGTGTTTAAAGAAATGATGACTCCTGTGTGAGTTGTGTGCAGGACTTAATGAAAGGCAAAAACACCAAGCTTATAAATCTGAGAGGCTTTTCTTGGTAATTAACATGGAAATAGCAGAGGAAGAGAAGGCATGTAATTGTGAGATATCAAGAATGAAAACGCTTCCAGCTTTGCCTGATTTTTTTTTTTACCATTTTTTTTCTTGATTTTTCTCCTCGACTCCCCCGTAGCGCAGCGGAGCTTGCTCATAGGCAGCAGCTTAATGCGTGTTAATGACAGGCGGATACAGGCATCACTGTGGACAAAGCAAATTATTACTGCACGACCAGAAGAAGTTCAAAGACAATCTGGGAATTCTCGCTCTCGTCCCCGTTGAGTTCCATGTTTGGAGAGCAAAGAAGGGCACAGAAAATTAAGCCCAGCGTTGAAAGCGAGACGCGCACTCCTCACGCTCGGCGCTCGCGCACGTGCTGTCGAAGCGCCCGACTTCAAAGTTGGAGCTCCCTAATTAATGAACTGCGGGCTTCAGTTTGGACAAGTTGTGGCGTGATGCTCCCATAAATCAACGTGACAGCGGAGCTCCTCGGCCTCAGATAAGGCCCGTCACCGAGTCGCATCTGATGTAAACAGGCGGAGGAGCAAGGGGAGGAAAAAGAGGAGGGAGGAGAGGGGAGCGGGGGAGAAGACAAGGAGGTGCAATTGATCAGTTGAATGGAGCACGAGAATAAAAGGAGAGGGGAAAAAAACACTTTTTAAACATATTATGTATGATCACAGGAAATAGATGCAGCCTCAAGAGGCTCTCCCCCTTTGCCGCTGTTTTCTTTCTCTTACCATCGCTCGCGCTCTTTTTTTTTTCTCTCTCCCGTTTCCAGCAGCCATCAAAAGACAGAATAAGAATGATGCAGTGACTCCCCTGTGGCTGCCAGACAATAACCCCCTGTTGTTGCTTTGTGCCTCTTTTATTTTAAAGACATCAAAATTTAGTTTTTCAAAGATCTTTAACTTTATATTTGAAGCCTGACAATAAAGGCCTGCCACTGCCACTCATTATCATTTGTCAGGGACTGTATTTTTCTCTCCCTTGTGCCACTTCTTGTTAACCTCTTATTTGGTCTGTTGGGTCTGGGGTTTTTTAATGTGTCTGCATGCTGCGAGCGCACAGGAGCTGCTGTCAGCTGATGGGACTACGAGAAAAAAAAAACAGGGAAGGGGAGAGGGTGAAATTCATTTTGCCGTGCTGGGTTTTCTTTCTTCTTTTTCTCTGAAAAGCCACCCTCTATTTATTTAGCGTTTTGATGAAAGACATTGTTCCTTGTGATCTCCCACCCCCGTAGCACTGTTATCTTTATCTGAGGCTGTCAGGGAGGAGCTGAGGAACAAAGAACTACTAAAGGCACGAGAAACTTCTCTTGTATTGACGTGAAGAGAGAGAGAGAGAGAAAAGAAGAAGCACCCGTCTTTCATAAAAAAGGAACGATCAGGGAAGATCCCCGACCACCTGCTTCACGACTTTCCCCAGAACCTGTGCCTTCTAGCTCGTCTTCACTTTCACCGGATCACACACACACACACACACACACACACACACACACAC